ATTAGAAATCTGAGCCCCTTTCTGGACCTTCAGCTCCCAGAATTCCCCAGTCCGGCACAGAGATTAGAAATCTGAGTAACTGGACGAAGATAGATATACACAAATGTACAGATAGTTAAAATTTATGTAAAAATATGCATACTGTCACGGAAGTGTAATGAATGGAAATGATGTTGTATATAAGAAAAATTGTTTAATAAAAAATATTTTAAAAAATAAATAAAATCTGAGTAACTTTAAGAGGGGTGGACTTCAACTCCCAAAATTCCCCAGTCAGCATAGCTGACTGGGGAATTCTGGGAGTTGAAGTCCGTTCCTTAAAGTTGATCAGGTTGAGAAATACTGATTTGGCAACTGGAAAGAAGACCACTAGGAAATCTTATGGCTGTACATTCTGTTCGAGGGTTGAAAATCATTGCAGGAGAAGACTGAGGCAAACTGGCCAGAAGATGATGACGATGTTGATGTTGATGATTAAATTAAATTAAGATGACACGTCTGTCCAACCAGCTGACTCAGAAAGAGACATTTCCTTTTCAAATTTCATACATCAATTAAGATAACCCACTGAATTTAAGCCTTAGGAAGGAGAAAGTCCCATTTTCAGGGCGTTAACACTCTTCCCAACACAGCCCTTTCCCTCTTCAGCCCATTTTACAGCCTGGGAAACTGAGGCTCGACACGCCCCACCCCCCCCCCCCCCCGTCCCATTCTCCCTTGCACAATTGGGCTGGCTCTGGATGTATTTTTTACCCCTCTCTTTTTAAAACAAATATCAAGTTTTCCAAAGATTGCACAACTACTTTTCCTAAGGAATTCTGCAGCCAAGTGTACTTCGGCTGCAGATTACAATGTCCAAGTTGTGTCATCGCATTGTGTAGTTTGTGTGCAATTGCAAACGGAAAGGGCAAAGTTTTAAGCACAAGGGTCCCAAAGTCACAATTTCCTAGGTGCAAAGCAATCTGGTTGCAAAGCTGAAGTGGCAGAACGGGGGTGGCTTCTGTGTGTGCGCGCGCGCGCGTGTGTGTGTGTGTGTGTGTGTGTGTGTCTGTGAGTGCATGCGTTCGTGTAAATGGCGCGAGAGGGAGGAGGAGGAGGAGGAGGAGGAGGAGGAAGTCAAAGTATCTTCCGGGTTTTTGTATCCAACCCAGATTAACTGTATCCAAACTGGAGTCCTTGCAAAAAGAATGTTTTTTTTAAAAAAAAAAAAAAAGAGGAGGAAAGCTAACATGACTTTAGGAATGAGTTTGTGGGTGAAAGGTTGCGAAAGGAGGGGGGCTAGTCCCTGGTGAGGAGGATGACGTGGAGAAGAAGCAACGGTTCTAGCTAACCCAGCGGGCATTTCCTAAAAAAACCAAAACAAAACAAAAAAAAAACAGACAGATGTGCAGGCAGAAAACCAGAGAGATCTAGTTTATAGCTTAAGGTTTTCCTGGCTCTACCCTGTTCACACAACCCTAGTTTTTGCCCTGCAACCCAGAACTTTTGGGGGGGGGAGGCAAAGGGAGGAGGGGAGGCAGCCAGATGGGCAGGCGAGAAGGGAAGGCAGGAGGGCCAGCCAAAGTCAGGTCTATGGGGGATGACACCCCCCCCCTGAAATGAGGATGGGGGGCAAGGAGGCAGAAAGGATGCACTGCAGAACTTTTGAATCCTGCTGGACGTCCTGTTGCGCCCATTTCACAGGCAGCAAACTGAGGCTGCAATAAAGAGGGGAGGGAGGGGATGGAAGGGAAGGGAGAAGAAGGGAGGAAAGAAGGAAGGAAGGAAGGAGAGAGGGAGAGGGAGGGAGGGAGGAAAAGGGAGGAAGGGAAAAAGGGAGGAGGGAGGAAGAGGGAGGAAGGAAAAGAAGGAGGGAGGGAGAGAATGGGGGGAGGAAAGGAAGAAAGGAGAGAAACAGAGAGGGGGAAGAAAGGAATAGAGGGAGGGAAGGAGAAAAGAAGGGAGGGAGAAGGATGAAGGAGGGAAGGAAGAAAGGAAAGGGAGAGAGGGGGTGAAGGGAAGAACGTGGGGGGGTAGGGAAGGAAGGAGGGAGGGAGGGAAAGAAGGGGTGAAGGAAGGAAAAGAGGGGGGAGAGGGAAAGAAAGGAAGGAGGGAGAGAGGGAGGGAAGGAAGGAAAAGAGGAAGGGAAGCACAGCACCCTGACCCGGGTCAACACCTTCCCCCCATCCGACCCAGAAAGATGATCTCTACTTGTCCCCCGTTGGGACCCCCCCCCCTCCACTTGCCTACTCCCGGCGGGGGAGAGGGGAGGGGATGCCAAGGGGGTCGTGGGGGGGAGGCGAGGGGGACCCGCGGGCGGTTCGCTCACCCCACGATCCGCGTGTAGGGCGCCGGCATCGCGTCGTTCCCAACCCCCGATCGGCGGCAGCAGCAGCAGCCCGCGGGGCTCCGGATTAAGAAGGCGAGGGAGGCGCGGAGGCAGCCCGGGCGAAGGATCCCGCCTCGCCCGCCTCATAGGCCGGCCCGGCCGGGCCCCCCGCCCGCCCCTCCGCCCCTCCCGCCGCGTCGGCATGATGTAACCCCGCCCGGCTCTTGCTCCGCCGCCTGGATCTGGGAATGGGGACTCCTGACCTCGTGCAGATGCCCTTGGGCGTCGCCTTTATACAGCTCGGCCCTCGGCTTAGGGCGCTTCGCTTAGCGACCATTTGTGGTATACATCCTGGCTGCAAGGAAAGAAGGGACTTAGGGTGGTTTTTCCACACTTATGACCCCCTGTTGCAGCATATGTGGGATGGTTTTTTTTCACACTTACAACCGATGGGTTGGTTGTTTCACACTTACGACCAACCGTTGCATCATACTTGAGATCGTTTTTTCACACTTATGACCGACCGTTTTGGCATCCCTCCGGGATCCCATGGGTGACACTGGGATGCTTGGCCTCTGACTCGTCTTTATGACGGTTACAGAGTTCAGGAGTCCTCAGGCGACCTTCTGACCAGCACAGTCAATGAGGGAAGCAATACGATTCACTTAACAACCGTGTGGCCGATGGAACCATGACAGGGATTTGCTTAATAAAAAGCAACAGCAATGGCACTTAAGACTTATATACTGCTGTACAGCCCCCTCTAAGTGGTTTACAGAGTCAGCCTCTTGCCCCGCAACAATCTGGGTCCTCGTTTTACCAACCTCAGAAGGGAGGATAGAAGGCTGAGTCAATCATGAGCCGGTGAGAATCGAACTGTGGGCAGAATTAGTCTGCAATACCTCATTCTAATCACTGCACCACCCTGGCTCTTATCAACTTATCAAACACCACAATTCACTTAGCAACAGTGGCAAAGGCAGTCATAAAATGGGACAAATCCACTTAACAATTTTTCACTTAGCAACATCAATTTTGGGCTCCATTCTGGTCGTAAGTTGAAGACGACCTGTGCAAGACGTCCTCGACTAACGACAACTGTGGAGCCCAGATTTTCTGCTGCTAAGCAAGATATTGGTTAAGTGAGTTTTGCCTCGCGTTACGACCTTTTCTTGCCACTGTCGTGAAGTGGATCACTGCGGTTGATAAGTTAGGAACCCGGTTGTTAAGTGAATCTGGCTTCCTCCACATTGCCTTTGCTGGTCCCAAGGTCGCAAAAGGGCGATCATGTGACCCAGGGATTCTGTGACCGTCATAAATAGGAACCGGTTGCCAAGTATTTGAATTTTGATGACAGGACTAGCGGGGGTGCGGGGAGGATACTGCAATGGTCATTAAGTGTGAAAAACGATCCTAAGTCGCTTTTTCCAGGGCCGCTGTAATTTTGAAGGGTTACTAAATGAACGGTCGTAAGTCAAGGACTTCCAGTACAGAGCAAGGTTGGGGGGAGGAGCCCTTGAGCACCCCATTCCTTGGACACTCTGGGCCTTCTGAGCATGAACAGAGTCCTTTTTCCACCTCAGTTTGCTCCCTGCATACAGGCAGTCCATTCGTTCATTTAGCGACCATTCCAAATTGCGACAGGATTGTAAAAAGAGACTTATGACCAGGGGCGCGATTCAGCCGGTTTGGACTGGTTTGTGAGACCGGTTGTTCTGGCAATCAGTTGGCCCCGCCCACGTGCTCCTGCCCTCGAATGTCCTATATTTCTGTGTTTTGCAGCTCAGCTGATTCACAGCGGATTGCTGCGCAAATCAGCTATTTTATTCACGGGGACTGAGGTAGAAGGTGAATTTTAAAGCTGAAAACGGGCGGTTTTCAAACGCTTCGCGCTCACCAAACCGGTTGTTACACCGATTGAATCCCACCCACTGCTTATGACCGTTCCCCACGGACAGGTGGTCAAAATTCAGATGCTAGGCATGTGTTTACGACAGTTGCGGGCGTCCTGGGGGAAGAGGGTCATGTGATCCAGTGGTGAGATTCAAAAATTTTTTACTACCAGTTCTGTGGGCGTGGCTTGGTGGGTGTGGCTTGGTGGGCGTGGCAGGGAAGAACACTGTAAAATCCCCATTCCCTCCCCACCCCACTAACCTGCTTTCCAGCTCCGTTCTCCTGTGCAGGGCAACCAAAGAAGACCCAGCCAATCAGCTGGCACTCGAGAGGCGGAGAATAGATGGGGGCAGGGCCAATCAGAGGTGGGATTTGCCTGTTCTCCAAGCTACTCAAAATTTCCGCTACTGGTTCTCCAGATCTGCTGAGAACCTGCTGAATACCACCTCTGATGCGATCCCCTTTTACGACCTTCTGACAAGCAAAGTCAGGAGGGGGAGGGGAAGCCAGATTCGTTTAACACCCGAGTTACTACTTTAACATCTACAGTGATTCACTTAACAACAACGACAGTGAGAAAGAATGTAAAATGTTAAGTGAGTAACACAGCGGTTAAGTGAATTGGATTTCCCCGTTGACTTTGCTCGTCAGAAGGTTGCAAATGGGGGAAATCACGTGACACCCACCCCGGGACATTGCGACCGTCGTAAATATGAGCCGGTGGCCAAGCGTCTGAATTCTGAACATGGGAATGCTGAAAAGGTCGTAACTGTGAAAAACGACCATCAGTCTCTTTTTTTCAGTGCCCTGGTCACTTCGAACGGTCGCTAAATGAACCATTGTAAGTCAAGGACTACCCATAATTCCCAGAAAAAGCCTTCTTAAAAAAAATAAATTGGGGAAGAGGAAGGAACAACCGAGTGGATGGTTCAGTAGAAAAAGCACAGATCCGGGATGGGCAGCCATGGGCTATATATGACCTGTGGACTTCAACTCCCAGAATTCCTGAGCTGCTTGGCTCAGGAATTCTGGGAGTTGAAGTCCATGAGTTGTAAAGGGCCCATAGTTACCTATCTCTGGCATACATGATTTTGAGGGAATAAAAATAGTCCCAGCTTACAACATTCATTCAGTGACTGTTCAAAGTATTGAAAAAGGCAACAATGGTCTCACTTAGCAACGGATATTGGTGGGGGGGCTCAATTGTGGTTGTAATTCGAGGACTGCCTGTATTTCCAGTTGTGGCTGTTCCGGTGGTTACCTGATTATTCACTTCATGACCCCGTCTCTTAGCGACGGAAGTTCCAGTCCCAGCGGTCCTAAGTGGAGGAACGCTTACGAGATACACCCAAATAAATATTCCCATTCAGAGAATTGCTCAATGAGACCGATTACTTGAGACCTTCAAGAAGAGATTGGACTGCCTTTGGTCAGAAATGGTGTAGGGTCTCCCGCTTGGGCGGGGGGGTTGGACTAGATGACCTGCAAGGTCCCTTCCAACTCTGATTATCTGTTATCTGATCGGGTCAAAGATTCCCCTTCATTTGTCTGCCTGAACAAGAGGGAGAAGGGTCGAGTTAACCTCTCCATCTTTTCTCCCAGGAAATCAGCGGAGATAGACTGCCCCACTCCATGGAAGCTCTACGGAGGCTGAGCACCGATCAAGCCGTGCAGAAATGCACTTCCATGCTAAATCTCTCCCCCACCTTTTGCGGGGAAACGGTTCGACTTTCTGTTGCAGGATTTCCAAAGTCATTTAAGGCAAGACTCCGAGGCCAGATTTTTCACCCCAGCACGAAACCCTATCCCCAATGACCGAGTTTTTGCCGCGACAACAACCCGAGAGAGATAACTGTGATCCCCTTTGATCTCCTGGTTCAACAATCCCAAAGTACAGCAAACAAGTTTCTTCCTACGAGAGATTTGGCAGTTCCAAACAAGCCACGGTCCAGAAAACACAGCAAAGGCTCCCAACAGCCGACGTCATGGAAATGGGCAAAGTCTACCAACCCCAGAGGACATTTCTGGACCTGTTTATGAAGCTTTGCAAAGCAGACAGAGGCCTGAGGCCCAGCGGTAAATCCCAAAGTGTTTACTTCCAAAATGTCCTTGGGTTGATCACCTATAAATGGTTGATTAAGTTAAGTGGGTGAGCAAAATTGGGAGGGCCCCCAATTCTGAGAAGGGCGGCTTTAAGAAATCCAGTCCAATAAAATTAAAGAAAAACGTTGCGAAGAGAGTCCCATTTTTTCAAGAGGCAACTGGACTTTCTGGTTTTTCTTTGAAGACATTTCACTTCTCATCACAAAAGCTTCTTCAGTCCTTTGTCTTTTAAATGCAGATGCTGAATCTATCCCTGATGGGTTTATTCTAACTTGTGCCATGCTGCTATGAAGTGGCTGTTTTGTTTCCCCAATGTCCAAATTTGCACATGGCCTCATTGCAGTGGACTGCATAGACCAGATGATTTTCCAAGAGGACTCTCTTTGTTGTTGTTTTCTTCGAAGACGTTTTTGCTTCTCCTCCAAGGGGCTTCTTCAGCTCTGCCTGGATGGGGGAACGGAAGGATTTGCACTCCTTGCAGACAGCAGGTCATTTGCGTCCTTCCTAGAGGGGTCGTTGAGGCCACCTGGTCAATGCAATCCAACGCAATGAGCCATGTGCAAATTTGGACATTGGGGAAACAGAACAGCCACTTCATAACCTCATGGCACAACCTAGAAGAAACCCATCAGGACAAGATTCAGCAGTCCATCCACATTTAAAAGACAAAGGCTACTCTTCTGAAGACAGCAAAGTTCACATTTTGGACACTGGTTTGAAAGAGGGGTCAAAGAGGCCGTCTGTGTCAAAACTGAAGACTCTTCTTTCAACAGAGGGCGGGGTGTATACAACATCATTTTTCTCCAGTGTACAACACAGTCTTTTCAACAGTTTGAAAAGGCCACACCCATTTGTACTATTCAGGAGACCCCCAAGGACACAGCGGCTCTCTAAAAAGGATGCAAATGACCAGCTCTCTGCAAGGAGCACAATTCCTTCTATTTTCCACTATCTAGTCGGAGCTGAAGAAGCTTCTTGGGTGAGAAGTGAAATGTCTTCAAAGAAAAACAATAAAGTCCAGTTGCCTCTTGAAAAAGCACCTTTTGGGAAGACCCACAAAAACCCATGAGAATTCGGCACGGTCCCAATCTCACATGCCATAAAGGAAAGGAAAGTTTTTTTTTTCCCTTCTTTTC